CACCCGGGATGGGTACCCATGCCCTAGCCTATTTGTTTTTTATTTTAATAAATATATTTTTTAATATTTATTAGTTATCCTTTTTTACCCATAATTAAACCCCCAGTGCAGTGAACACTCATTCTTTCCTAAACTCACCCCGACACCCATCGGCTAGCCTCATCCGATCGGCGATGAGGTGCACCGTCGTGTCCTTCGATTTCAACAGCGACCATCGGTCCAACCCCGACCAACCACGTTTTGTAAATCGACACATATTTCTAGGAAGAAGAAAATGTCGAAGGAGAAAACCCAAACCGCTGTCGCTCATTGGTTGCCTTGTTTCCAGTCGTTCCAGTTACTGTCGTGCCTCACCGCCACCATAGGAAGACTCGACGACCCCATGCACCCAAAATATGACCGAGCTCGTGGCCTGAAACTCGTCTAATCATCTTCCAACATTTGGGTAAACTCCGATTTAGTTTTCAATTTTTTATCGTGATTTTTGACATATTTTCAGAAATATTGTATGGAAATGATGATTTGGTAGTGTTTGGAAACTTCTGGTGTGTTCGACCGTCCACCCCGAGCCTTTCGCAGTCACCCACGTGCTCCAAAATTGACCTGAACCGTTGACCCGACCCAATCCAAACTGCTTGACCCGATCCGTTGACCTTGATCAGAGTTGACTTTGACCCGAAAAGTCAAATTTTTTGAAAATTCATATTTTATGTTTTTTAACGTCCTGATTCTGAATCCGAATTCCGTTTTGCCAAATTTACACTCGAAACCCTCTGAATTGACCCGTAACCTGAAAAATGCTTATTTATTTAAGTGTTTTAATTCAGTTAATTTAATCGAAGGGTCAAAGACTAATTAATGTTATCGTATGTTAAAGGTACTCAGAGATCTCCTTACGTTTCACTGCTCGACCCAGTTTCTCCCGATCCGCTCATCCTCGAGAGGCCTTGAATACATGTATAGTTCTGTAACCCTGTTAGTTATTCTATTTAGAATATTATTCCGAATATAACCCTGTTATGATATGGCTTAGGTTCTCATTCCTTCGAAGAGCCTAGTGAAGTCGGTGCTCAATAAATCTTCCGTACTGACTCGTTTTAAGAGGTGTGTTCCTTATGTGCAATATAATTGTTTGAAATATCTGTTTGAAATCTCATATGCATATGAATATTTTCTCTAATTTGAAATATAATGTTTGATATGATTTGACTACTATATAAATTACCTATTTTGAAACCTAATTCTTGATTTATTGAAATGTAAAGCATGATTGCCTGAATTATGATTTATGGTTACTTTTTACTGAACTGGTGATCTGTCTGAACTGTGATTTACTGGTACTACTGGCTACTATCTGAAAAATGTTTTATTCAGGGCACTTTGGGATCTGGTATGAAGACTCTGGCAGGTTCAGTTACTGATGGTAATTCATTGGATAGGTTCAGCATCGATTGGTAATTCCGTATAGACCTAAGGCGACCCTTGGGAAGGCTCTACGTCCTCGAGATTTTTCTTGGTAAGCCTTCGTGGCCCCGAGAATTATCTTAGGTAGGGTCTCAGGCCCCAAGGTATTCCCTTAGGTTGTGCAATTCTGGGGAATTGCATATGGCGTTCGGTTGGAGGACGATTCAGAGTTTTTAAAATAAAAACTCTTATGATGTTTTAAAAAGTGTGATCTACGCTGATTTTAAAAGCATAATTGTATGTTTTTATTTCTGCACTATTGGGACACACTGAGCCTCTAGCTCACTTTTCAAACTATTTTATCCCTTTCAGATATTCTCGGATAGGCACTCTGTATCAAACACTTGGAGGATTGACACATTTAGTACAAATCTTTTTGTTTTAATGTTTTTTTCTTCCGAACTGCTTTTAATTATGGTGGCATGTGCCTTATTTTTAAAGTACTTATCTTTTTATGACGTTTACTACTTTTGCTACTGATTTTTGATTTACTGTGCTCTGGATTTATTACATGTTTCATTTTACCTGGTCGTTTTTAGATTTATATTTATGAGTTGGGTTTTATTGTTATTTATTATACTTTTATAAATGTCATTTGTATTATGATTTAAATTATCGAATAATGTTTTTGGAAAAACTTTTTAAGAATCTTTAATGTAATCCGCTAAACTTAGTCGAAACACATAGGTTGAGTCTAGGGGGTTACAACTCTTTTAGAAAATAAATCTGAAAAGTCCCTCATTGCAGGAATGTTTTCAATTTTGGACTTAGATTGCCTTGAATCTATAATACGATCAAGGTACACTACGACACTCTTTTTGATTAATTTCTCAACTCCAAAGGCTGATATAACATTAGATAGATATCCTCGTCGCTCGTCAATCATAAAAACTTCCATATCTTTAGAAGTTTTGAGAACTGCTCTTTTACGTTCATAGTTCAAGTTAACTCGATGCTCTATAATCCATTTGGTATCAATAATAAGATTGAGTACATCTAGTGAAAGTTATATAAGATTTGACGAAAAGATTTCTCCATATAGCACAAGAGGACAATTATAATAGGCTTTGTTAACCACTATAGACACAAGAGACTAAATAGTAAACACACATGTAATTGACTCAACCAAAATTCTAGGATTGTGTGCAACAGAACTTGCAACATAGGATGCGTAGACCCACTATAAAGTAATGCAGAATAGTGAGCAAAATGAATGGTAAAAGTACTTGTAATGATGTCTCCCACAACATGATCCTTACGATGTCTCATAACATAAACAAGAGCATGCCATCTAGCCTCTGATATAGTAGAATATCTACCCTAAACAGATCATTCCAACTCCAAGAACCCGATACAAATCTAGATAGTGCAAGTCTACGCTGACTAGTCCCTCGATGTTTGAATTAATCTCTAAGAATGAGTATGAATTTCAAATGTTGGAGCAGACTGTAGATAATCTCTCTGAAAATTCTCAATAGAACCACACGTGAAACACGCCCTCACCTTCTTGCGACACTATCTATCATGATGTCTATTATGAAAAATACATGTAGGAACAAACTGTTGTACAGAATAAACACTCCTACTCACCGATCGACTAGAAGAATAGGTTTAGATCCAAAATCATCATATCTCAAAGTTTCATTCTTCACACGCTTGCTAGGACGAGCGTAAGAACTAAAAGGACCCTTATAATTTTATTGCTTCATTTTCCTATGACTTTTTATTCCTTATTGAGATCTTCTATCTCCTCGACAATTTTATCTAGATCAACAAGCTTAACGAAGTCCCACTCATGATGAATAACTACCTTGCTACGAATCCTAAGACATAGACCCTTCTCAAACTATGGGAATTTATCCTCCTCGGTAGTGACCAGTTTAGTGGTATATTTACTAAAATATAAAAACTCCAACTCATACTTTTGAATTGTAAAATCACCTTGCTTTAGATCCATGAATTCTTACTTTTAGTTTTCCATATAACAAGTGCCAATAAGCTAACTTCGAAAAGCCTCTTAGAAAAACTCATAAGTTAGTTGATCCCTTAGAGTGGTCGTCTTAAACAAATCTCATCAACTTAGGGCATCATATTTCAACAATGAAATGAATGCCTGAAGAAGCTTACAGTTCAGAGGAAACGTTCAGATGACCAGGTTTATAAGATTAAAAATAGATGTCTAGTATGTTCCCACAAAACAAGAATAAATGTAATCATAGTTTAAAAACAATAGTAGTAGTTTATTTCAATAAACCATATTTTTTTTAAAACACATCAATACCCTCCACCCAAACACTCCATATACAATTCCCCATAACTGCATCCATAAGGACTTACCCTAGGCCCATTGGGCGAAGAAGTCAACCTAAGGGAGCACCTTGGGTCTATAAGGACTTACCATAACTGAAGCATAGGATCCACCTCAAGGGAGTGCCCCTTGGTCCATAAGGACTTACCCTAAGCACAAAACAAAATATCCACATTATGGGAGTGCCATAGGGTCCATAAAGTCTTACCACTATACCCATTGAACCTAAAAACCCACCCAAGGGTGACCTTAGGTCCATAAGGATTTACCAACTTGATCGGAGCTTAACATGTATAACTCCATAATAGATCCCATAAGTACCCCAATATAAATCAGAATATACATATAATAATTAGTAACCAGAAATATCAGATATCAGGAGCCATATATAATATACATCAGAAAAAAAAAATCAGACACTTGGTAATTATTAGAAATAGAAAACATGAACTTACGTAAAATTTGATCATATTTTAGGAACAAGTGCCCTATTACAAGGGTTCGATTACTAACGGATCTAATTAGACTTTTAGAGATTAATGCTACCATACCATATAGGATTCAAGTGTATTAGGAAAGTATTCGGGAATATTTACATCATAATAATTTAATATTTAAGATATAACCAGAGTGATTACATATTTTAGGTCATTAGGGGTATTTCAGACATTTTGATTTCTAGAGGATTCTTAATAACATAATCCAATAATGGTTAAATGATGTTTTACAGTATTCAAGATTCATAGAAACTTATCAGTAAATCATGTTGAACTAAACAAATCCCAACACTGCGATACCTGTTAATCATCTGAACCGTGATACTTCTTGAATATTTACTTATTAATACTGACTGCACCAGTTGAACTGATCATCTTTAAAATCAGCCTTGAATGGATATTGAGGAGACGAATATGTACTCGGGTGGTATTTAATTTATTTTTAAATTGTAAAAGTATCCAAAATGACTTACATGCTTGGGTCGTGCTATGAGGTGGTACATTCCGTAGTTAATCGATGTTTACAAAGTTTATCCAAAGGCATTCTCTTAGTCGAAGTCGTAAGTGTATTTAGGTCATTTCTAATACTCAATGTTACTTCAGTCATTTGGGAGTTCAAGGTATTTCAACCCTTTTATGGTTCAAGGGCATTTTGGTCACTTTATTTGATTACTCTTATGCATCATTTCCAATAATTTAGTCTTCGAATGATTATTCCATAATCTAAAATCCTAAGTCTTTTACCATCTCGGAAGCTAAAAAACTATTATCAAGAGTTTTCGAAACAAATCAGGTATTTAGCAGGTGAATCGGTTGTTTAATGAATCAAGATTAACATTTCATGATTATTTCCATTTCTAGGGTCGATTCAGATCATTTTTATCTCATAAGGGTAATTTCATAATTTCTTTTCCTCGAATTTCTGACATAAAAATTATATAACGAGAAACATTAGAATCTAAGAATTATGGTGCTAATTATTTTTATCGAATAACCACTTAACTTTATTTCTTATCAGTCCTCTAGTCACTTATACGAGTTATCTGAGTCCTTTTAGAACAGGTCAGGAACTTTGAAAGATGATCCATGGCTTTCTATTAGGTGTTGTATGAATTTTCATATCATTTCCACTGTTAGAGGTAAATCATTTCATCTTTGTATCCTAAGGGTATTTTCGTAATTTTCCCTATAAGGATATTTTCATAAATTCTTTATCCAAGTATTTCCAATATTTAATCATTAAAGAAAATAATCAGAATTTATGAATCCTGAGGTCCAATGATTTCCTAATTAATCACTAAACTGGAATTATTTATTATCTACCTTCTCGTTCCTTAAACAACTCATCTTATTCTTATTTAGTTTATTGTCTTTTTACCGAATACAATACTAGTTTCAGAATAATTAATGATAAGAAAATGACCATCCATTTTTATTCATTCAATAACCAATATCAACGTTTTACGTAAATCATGCAAATAGTAGTAAAGTATTACCTGGATTTTTGTGCACATCGATCGACACTTGATTTTGACGTCCCATTATATCTCAGATACATAAAAAAAATTACATTGAAAATGGATATTAAATGGGGCAAACGGATTGAATTTGACGATAAAATTCTTTAAAATGGCTTATCAAGTTGGAATTTAGCGAAACAGACCCCCTAAAAACAGACTCAAAATGTTGAAAAACGCTAAGATAGGTGGTCCTGAATAAAATCAACACTCAGTCAACGATTGGTTAATTTTGGTCAACGGCGGTCAAAGTCAAGGCTTGGTTTGGGAGATCGACTCAACTGGCTGCTTGACTCGGGCGATCAGCTCAGCTCGGGTGACTCGATTCTAGTTAACTCAAACCGTTCAATCGGATCGGACCATTCAGTTCTAGAAATCTCCTGACCAGAAAACAGACCCCACGCGCAGAGGGCGATGCGTGGGGCACATGAGGTGGCCTACGGTGGCCGGACGGCCACAAAATTCTAGAATCATAAATCTTCAGCTCGGGATTCTCGTGCCAGTATCCTTTCGCGACGGAGAGCAGCATAGAACGGCGAAAATCAACATTTACCAATGGTCAAACTTCCCCTTTCTCATCCCCATCAACGACGATGGCGACGACAACACACGACCATCAATCGACTCCTTTCCACACCTAAAACACAATGGTGTCAGCGGTATCGTGAATTGAGGCTCGGACAGCGACAAAATGGCAATGAACTATTCTTGACGAGAGAGAAAAATAAAAGAGGAAAGGGGAAAGAAGAGAGAGAGAAAAACTTACCCAATTTTGAATTCTCTAGAATTGTGGAAGTTTTAATCTCCCTACACTTGAAAAATGACATAATTCTTCCCTTGATCCTTGAGCATTTCCTAAGTTACGATTTAGTCCGAGATTTTACTAAAAATTCGATTTAATCTCCCAAATTAATAATATATATATATAACCCCTAAGTTGGGGTGTGACATAATTAAATGCATTTTCAAAGAATTAAATAAATGTACGAATCACATGCCAAGCCTTACTCATAACACCAATATTTGCCTGATAATTTCATAATCCTATTTTTAAAGTCTGATTCGGTTGCTGCAAGCTCATGCTTGTGGTTAGATGCTACGCTAATTTTAGTAATTTATCGAAGCATTTATATAAAAAGAACATTTTTATATTTAAATCGGTTAAATAATTGAAAAATAGATTCACCTTAAAACCCCAATGACTAGCCAATCCCTAATAATTTTTTGGCTTTCATTTGCACAATTTCTTCCTGACTGTATCCCAATTTTGCCTATTTTCACGATTTTGCAATTTTGTTGCACTGAATTGTTTTCTTTATTGTTTTTAGGGTTCATAAATTGTTTCTTATTTTTTATAACCATATATTTGATTTATTAATCGACTAATTCAAATCGAGTACTGTAGAGATGTTGTTAAATATATAAAAATATGAGATGAAAAAAAAGAAAAAAAAATACTTTATTGATAATTTAAGAGAACAATTTAATATAAAAAACATGATTGATGACAGAATAACTGAAACATACTTGAGGCATATTACTACACAATTTTCCTTAAGAAAGATTTTCGGTCACTCCTTAATACTCGAGATTTTTAGTCGTCAGTCTCTTAGGATACAACAACGAGATAGTGTACAGCAGCACAACTATAGAGATCAAGAATTATACCTTGCCTGAGCCTATCATCAAAAATTAAAGGAGAAGAAAAGTGATTTTCAAGTTGTGTTTTATTTAATAAGTTTACACTGTATTTATAAGGTTTCACATAGGAAAATAATTGGAAATAATATATTATGAAAAGTCAAGTCATAATGGGTATCCAAATAAATTAGAAAGCAATCAATTAATGTCGTATTCAATCGAATATATATTCATGAGCTATAAGACATGTCATGTTAATATCTCAATTAAAGGAAATCATAATATATCATTTTAGTTCAGAATATTAAAAAACCACATCTAAAGAAAATAGTCAATTCATAATGGGTAAAATATTTGCAAGTCATAGAAGGGTTCGATCGATCCAAACATTCACAAAATGTGGGTGCACCCTCAAACCGTTGAATTCAACGAGCTTGAATTTGCAAACCCTACGCCTAAGAACATGGCACAATTTTAACCCAAGATATTCAATAACTACAAAGTGAGTTTGTGCATATAATATTCCCATGCCTGTTATCCTACTAATTTGGGATATGAGTTTTCCATTTTCCTTACACAATAGAATTCACAAGTACTCTACTTTGAGCATCAATTTTTCATTCATTACTTAATTATTTTGAGTACATGAGATACTTTTGTAAAGATCACATGAAGTAGAATATGAATCAATAAATTTATTATTCAAATCTACACCTTTGCCCATAGAAAATATGTCTCAAAGTTTTTAATTTATCACAACTTTTCTAACAATGACGACTCTCCCAACTCAGTTTGCCCTATTCACAAGCGTCATGACTCGAATCCGTAACCTTATTTATAAGATTTAATATATCATCCCACTATATCAACCGATTGTTGATATACATTGTTTCTTATATTGCAGAAACAAAATCGAATTGTTTCGCATTTATATGGTAGAAATGTCGTATAATGTCAAGGAACCGAATTTCATGTACACACCCACATCAATAAAATAATAAATTTAGTTTGATTGAAATTAGGAAAGATGTCTATTTTAACGTCGATTAATGGTGGGCAACTCAGTTTGAGTACATTTTATATACAAGTTTCCTTTGTAATCCACTAAATATGCTTAAAAATATATGGGTAAAGTAGATAAATAGTCCCTAAACTTTTAAGGTTCTTACATTTTGGTCACCCAACTTTTAAAACTTGCAATATAGTCATCGAACTTTTAGTTTATTTTCATTTTGGTCCCTGTCATTATCTTCCGCTAGTGTTTACTGGCATGGCACTTAACTCTGTTGATTTTATAATGTGGAAGCTTTTTCTTGTTCTTCCTTGTTTCTTTTTCTTCTCACACACTCTCTCAATGAAATCTCAAATCCAAAACCTTGTCATTTCTTGAATTCTTTCTCTCTCTAAATTCCCAAGAAAATTCAGCTTCTCTCTCTACTTTCTTAGGAAAATCCAAAACCAAACTGGGCCCTTTTGAATTAATTTATCTCTCTCAATGATCAAACAGAGAGGAAAAGAAAAATGACCTAAAGTATAATATGTAGTACACACAAAGGCAAACATATGAACGATGATCACCCCTACATATGCTATTAATCTGATTAGTTTGGATATCAATTCCTTGTGCAGATGATTCACTACTAAAGAGAACTTTTTCGATGTAAATTTCGTCAAATAGCATCAAAAGTATTTTAAATCATTGATATTTTGTGCGGATGGGTGGGCACATCTGAGCATTTGGGCAGAAGATTGAGATCCAGGTCTCAAGAGGAGGGCTTCCCCCAGGGAACAATTAGAGAACATAAATATTATATTGTGAGACAAAAGACAGGAGTGAATATTGATGTATGGTTAGTTGGTACAAACCCGAACAAGTGTAAACCTTGGCCGCTAGGGTGTAAACTGATATTTTCATCAAATTTCACCAAGTAAACAAATGTCACTAAGCCCCCTCTACTATAATTTTAAAGCACAAGCAAACACCTCATGCGATTCAGTAAGAAGAAAATTGCCCACAGTTTGTTTTGTATATATCTTATTTTTAACGTCCTAAAGTCGGGTCTGATAGTTAGGGTCGGTTTCGGATTGATTTCTAGATTTCCGATAAGAAGACAGAAAATTTTCTAAAATTCATATTTTGGTTTTAAAAATATTTTGGAATGGTTTTAAGTGATTTTAGATGATTAATTTTAATTATGGAAGTTTAATTAAATGATTTGGTAACTGAATTGAAAGAATTGGAAATTATAATTTCGTATATCATTTTGTAAATTTTCACAATGTCCAAAGTCTATGAAGCAATTACACGAAAGCTTATGTTTAGAGTTTTTCCTTCTAAATTAAAATGTTTTAATTTTCTCTTTTTATCATTTTTCCATCTATATTCATTTTAATCTAAAATTACATTTCCTTATTTGCTTGTTTTTATTCACGTGTTTTTCATTTCCTTCTCATTTTACATTTTAGTAACTTCTCTTAACTTCCTCCATTTTCTCTCATTTTCTCCCAAACAAGATGATCAATTCTTTTTCTTTTTCTTCTTGATTTCTAAATTCACTCATATCAATCTTGATTTTAATTCTCAAGTATCTCTTCTCTTCTCTTCTTGTTTTTAAAGCTTGATCATAATGGAGGTTCATTGATGATCTCAATTTCAATCTATTTTCCAGCAAGGTAAGGATATTTTCCTAGGTTTTCTTTCAAGCTTCGGGGGTAAGTGACTAAGTGTTGATGATTATATTGAATTGTTGATTTAATTGAAATGATTTCTAATATTTCAATTGATTTTCAGAGCTAATTAATGTTATGATTTCTTGACTTAGTTTTGAGGTTTTATTAATGAAATTGAGTTGTTTTTTGGAGTGATTATAATCATATTAAATTAGTTTTTGAATTGTAAATGATTTGGATATTGATTTCTTAAAAACAATGTTGTTTTTCAGAATTTTTGGGAATCCATGAATTTAGGTTTGTAGATGTTAATTTGTGCGATTCTAGATGAGTTAGATGTTGATTATAGTTTTTGTTTATCAGCTTTTAGTGTGGAGAATTTTGTGTTTCAGATTAGAGCTTCCAAAGTGACGTTTCGGTAAGGCTTTCGGTGTTTTCGATGTTTGTGCTTTATTTTGGAAACAGAGGGTCCTGCTTTATTTTAGATTAGATTTTGACGTGTTAATTTTCTTTGCAAGGTTCTTATTCTATTGTTAGTTGAGGAAACTTGGTGCTTTGAATTTGGTGAACGTTTTGGTAGTGTTTGGAATCATTTTTGGCTTCCGAACAGCAAGGTGGGTGGCTCTCATTCTTAGGAAATGAACTTGATTCAAGGTTGAGGTTTGTGTAGTGTTACATTTGTAATTCTGATATATTGTGATATTTGGCTAAGTATGATGATGAAATATGAATTATCTTGATTTACAGATGATGACACTTGTGTCGGAAATGAGAATGTGAATTATGAATGTGATGTGTTGCAAATAATGCATAGGATTTTGAAAAAGGTTTGTGAAAATCTATATATATTCTGAATGTGAATTGGATGACCTGAACTTTCTCATTGTCCAAATATGTGGGTTGATCATGACAACCATCCGTAACTGTGTTTCAAAATGTATTTGAATAAATATGTGAAAACTATGCATCATTGATAACCGCTCTTAGTGAATTGGATTAATTGGCTATTGTTCTTAATAGGACCTTTAGATATAAAAGGCATGTCTAAGAAAGAGTACTCTACGTTTTTTTATTAGTGTGTGATTCGAGATTATACGGGTTTGGATGGTACGTTGAGCTTTGCTCCGAGAAGATATGGGGTAAGGTTAGGCATTGAGTTTGCTCTGCAATTCATGGTTTTGGACCTATGTGAGTCCGTAAGAAAAAAAATGGAGTTGTATGAAGTTTGTTTATTCAACGAGTGAGTTGTGTTTCGAACAAAAGTCGTTGATCTTAAAATGTAAAAATGTGTGATTGTGTGATTTGCCAAGGAAGGTAATTGTGCATGTGTGCTTGTGATTGATTTTGA